GCAGCCCCTCTCCCCGGCAGGAGGCGCCAGAGGGCGGGGGCGTTTGCGCCACCTGCGCACGGCACAGGGGCTCCGGGCTTTGTGGGGCTGGGGGACCAGGCTAGGAGTTGGGGTGCGGAGGGCAAGCCCCGTAGACTGCAAGGTCAATGGGGCGCCCAGCGTGCCCTGCCGGCCGGCGCGAGGGTCGCGGGTCCAGGTCGTGGCTCGGGATGGCCACGCCGACCTACCCGACGCTGGGCTCGGCTTTGCGCTGCGCCCTCCCTCTCGCCTCTGTCCTGGGCCGGGAGCGGAGGGCAGGGTGCGCGAAGCCGGCGGCTGCTCGCGTTTTGCACCAGGGTCGCCCGACCGAGAGGAGGAGCTGCTTCTCCCCCAGGGAGGAGGGAAGGGGGGGCAGAGGGGTTAACACGCTTCCTTCCTGTCATCAGTTGATTTCTGACGGCCGGGGCCGGGACGTTTGCTGTCCCGCCCGGAGCGCCTGCCCGGGGCTTTCCCGCCGCGCCGTTTCCTCCTGGCGGCGGGAGGTGTGGAGAGACTACAGGGGCTCCCCCAGGGTGCCCCCCAAGCCTGCCACAGCCCGACCTCCGCCTGTCCTCATTGGAATCCCAGGAGAAAGCCCCCCGCCCGCTTCACTTGTTAGCAGGGCCCCCCAGCGCCTCTCCGGGGGGTTTCAACCTGCCCTCGGCTGCTTTAATGCTGCTTGAAGGCCACGCACACCCGTGAGCGCTGGAAGCTCCTGGAAGGCCAGGGAGAGGCTGAAGCGCTTCCCGCACCCCCACTTACACAGCGGTATTTATGGGTAGCCTGAAAAACCAGGCTGGGGGCGCCAACCAGCTCGTTTGGTGGGGACTCAGCTGTAATTCGTGTAGGTCTGCCTCTTACCACTTTATTGCACATTGGGAATTCCTGGGCCTGATAAAGAGAAACCGGTGATATGAACGTGTCCCGCAGAGCCAAGCAAGTGGTCTGGCCCAGAGGCAGTTGCAAGAGCACAAGTTGTGCCGTCTAACTCCACCCCGGGGGTGAGGTGGACGGTAGCTGTTCACGTGCTAGGAGTGGGGGTGCTGCCTGGCTAGGTGGGCAGGTGTTTTGATTCAAAGTATTCTGATCAACTGAGAATTACCATGCCTGTCCCATGCACCTTCACATTTTTAATAGCAATGACATCCTCGGTCCTTTGCAGAATGTTTCTTTATTTTCCAAATGTTTGGGGTTGTGTGTTTTTTCACACCTATGATTTTATTTGATACAATAGTCCTTGAAGCTAGGAGCCTGACTTCTTGGTGTTTTTTCCTGCAAATCTTACCTAGACATGGACGACCATAAAACACGCAAGNCTACAATAGTCCTTGAAGCTAGGAGCCTGACTTTTTGGTTCAGTGAGGTGGTTTTTTTCCTGCAAATCTTACCTAGACATGGACGACCATAAAACACGCAAATATTAAAAATATGGCGCTACACAAAATAAGTGAATTTTCACTTGGTAATTTAAAAGACACTTCAAAAGCTTGCAAACCCTGAGTGACAGTTATGGAGTCAGAAAAAAGAAAACACTTTATGTTCAAACCCAGGTTGTAGGCTTCCTAGGTGGGTGAACGTGGGCAAGTTATTTTTAACCTTTCTTAAGCCCAGTTTTCTCATCTGTAAAATGGGGAGAACTCCCTCATAAATGTTTGTATTAAATGAGGTAATGCATATAAAGCATTTCTCACAGTGCCAGGCATATATTGAGTGCTCACTAGACATGAGCTATTGTTATGTTTAACATAAGTGGTTACGCAGAATTTTCAGTTTTAACTTTTAAGTTTCCCCTTTCTGTATATATGAGTTTATTTCACAACAGTTGTTTGGGTTCCTAAAGAGATAGCTACCTCTCTGACCACATGAAAAATAAATCCATCCTAGAGTTTATAAAGACTGTCACTTAAAAGAAAAGAAAAAAAAAAGACTATCACTTCAGATTGACCCACAAAAGTGTTTAATTTTCGTCTCCCAGAGAAGAGGCCATCCTGTAGCAGGTCCTGTTTTTATTTTCTTACCAATTACTCGGTTTTGGTATCTTGCTATCTTTTTTCTTATCTTGACTCCTTTCGTTTTCCTACGGCTGCCTCGTGCATGGTAATTCTACAAATAACAGAGAAAGGTGCAGGCGATTAGTTACCAGCTTCATTAAATAGTTAATAAGCCACATATGGGGACATGCAGCCTCCCAGAGAAAGTCATCTAGGCTGCAAATGATAAAAGCCAAACTCTGTCCGTTATGCGCAGCTGTGTGGCAGAAGCTTGGGGACAGAGCCAACTTTGCTGCCTCCTTTTTAGCCCCTACACTGAGCCTAGATAAGAATGAGGTGTCAGAGAAGGTTCTGGGGCCAAACAGCCCGGGTTTGCCAGGGGAGGCAATCCCCAGGGTGGGTGGTCAGAGCACTCATGAAAGAGGTGGGCTGGAGCAGAGACCTCTTGAAAACCTTTGCCTGGAGGCCTGGAACTTAAACTAATTGGCAGCTACTGACAGTGTGACATTCAGCGTCAGTCTTGAGGGGCTGGCTGGAGAGCAAAGCCAAGCAGAAGTGGCTGTGGCTGGCCACGGATGCATACCAGTCCCCTGAGGAGGTAGCCGCTCCGGGAAAAGACAAGACGTGCATCTGCTCAGGCTGCAGCCTGCGTGGCATGTGGCAAGATGAGGCTGAGTGTAACAGGCACCTCCAGGGTCTTCGGTTTGCTCTCCTGATACCCAAACTCTGTCCAGCATCACAGACAAGCTCCCCTGTCCCCAGCTTGTGCCCCCCCCATCTGCCTCATTTTCTTGTTACCAAACAAAGTTCATCCACTCGGTCTGGACTAGCAGAGCCCAACACTCCCCACCGAGAAGTGCAGGGGAGAAATATTGGCTGTTTTGTTATGAAGGGTGCCATCAGGAGAACGGGAAGCTAATGCTCAAAGCCCAAACTCCCCGATGGCATGTAGGTTACAGATTATATATATAGGGCAAAGTCACAAGACACCGGGGGTTAGGGGTTCAGGTCTTGCTGGGAGCTGATTGGTCGGAGGTGAGGCAAGGGTCGTGAATCGTTTCTTCAGGTCTTGAGCACAGCTCGGAGGGCCTTTCCAGCATCCCTCTGTCTGTTTTCATGGACAAGTAGCCAGGGGGTCAGGCCACCCTAGGGCTCAGGAGCTGAAAAATAACTTATGTCAAGATGTTATCATTAGCCTGCCAGGGGTCTGAGAGTGTGAGCATTAGTGAGCTCTGGGCTACTGTCGTCTGCTGCCTCAGGGGCTGCTGATTATCAGGGGGAAAGGCTAGGTCTCCGAGGGATGGAGACAGAGAGACAGAGAGATGGATGATTTCTAGAGCTAGGATTTAAAATGAAATTTAATGAAAGTCATAAGGACCCTTGATTTCACTCTCATTTATGAAACACTGGATGAGCGGACCCTCCTGCCTCTTCCATCAGAGTGTTACAAAGATTAATGACGTGGACCTAAATGCTCCTCGGGGAGGCTCTGTATGATTATTTCTTTTCAGCATACCAGTCTCTGCGATATTTTCCACAGAGACCTGTCAGCTTCCCTGAAACAAACCAGGGAGTGGATATTTATACAATTTACCGTGTCCTGGGCTGCAGGGCTGTGTTCAGGGCTTTAGGGCAGGGACTGTGCTATGTGCTAGAGACGGCCTGGTGGCCCAGGTATTGTTAAGGACCGCTGAGTGTTGCCTGGGGGCAGTGGGTTGGGGTGGGAGATGGGACGATTGGCTGCAGAATACAGAGGCCAGCATATAAAACCAAAGGGAAAGGAGAAAAGAAAAGCTAGGCCACAGGGCAGTGTCTTTCTAAATAAAACCAATGGCCTCTTCCACCCATTTTTTATTTTTATTTTAAGCTTTTACTTATTTTTAATTGAGTCAGAATTGACAATAACATATTAGTTTCAGGTGTAGAACCTAACGATTTGATTTTGTACACACTGAGACACGATCACCACACTCAGTCCAGTTAACATCCATCACCACACAGTTACAATTTTTTTCTTGTGATGAGAACTTTTAAGATCTACTCTGTTAGCAGTTTTCAAATATACAATATAGTTACTAACGATAGTCACCATCTGCACTTTACATTCCCATGACCTATTTATTTTATAATTGGACGTATATACCTTTGTATTATCTTCACCCATTTTGCCCTCTCATTTTTAAGAGACTCCAGAATCTTATTTGGAGACAATCGACATAGTANATATACCTTTGTATTATCTTCACCCATTTTGCCCGCTCATTTTTAAGAGACTCCAGAATCTTATTTGGAGACAATCGACATAGTATGAGAAAAGAGATATCAATAAAAAAGATAAATTGCTCTAAAGAAGAAAGACCACACCACCAATTAGGGGCACACATCATTCCGCTATTATGTTTAACATTTTCCTAATTAAAAGGATTTCTGGTGGCTGACAAAAATACATACTATTTTACAGTATGTCTATTTCTTCATATATTATATATAGCAGAGAGCAAGATTGAATAAAGCAATTGAGGCAAAAGGGGAAAATCAGGATTGAGTAATAAAATGAAGCTACAGGATTGTATAAGCGGAAAGTCCTGTGCTGTTTAAAGCCGATCACAAGTCAGTTCTCAGATTCTCAGAAGTCCATTCAGGATAATTACCTGATCAGTAACAAGATTCTAGATGGCCATAAAGGAAATTCCTCAAAAACAATTACAGACTTTTCCTGTAGGTCCCCCTGAAATGTTTACAACAGCCATCTCATGTCAGGTAAAGGTCTTTCACAGAAACAAGACTCAACAAGCATGGGGTTGAGTTCCTACTGAATTGTGAGTGATACACACACAGCACAACGTCCACACGATAAACACCTTGCCCTGAATCCTTTCCTTCAGTTTCAGTTTTGATTGACAGATGGCCAGGTAGGCGTAGAGAATTAGGGTCACCCCTTGAAGAGTGTTAAAGTGTGCCAGTCTCCAAGCCACCGCTTGAGGTGAGGACAATGAAAGATGTTAATGCGATAAAGGGTTGTAAAGCCCTGCTTTTGGGGTGTGCACACTATCTTTGCACTTAGTCTACCTTAGTTTTAACTTGCAGTATATTGATACTATGGGTCTCTGGAATTTTCCCCAAGACAAGAAGAAACATCTGATTCCTATGTTTATGACCAAATTGCACCATTTTTGCTGAACTTAGAAATAAAAGCATTTTTAAAAGATTAGTTAGCCTTATGCTGTATACAGGCTGCTGAAAGATGTCCAAACCATACGAAAAAAGAAAACCTTGTTATTTGGTTGAATGTCTCAAAAAAAAAATCAAGAAAAATTATTCGAGTGCCATATTATTTTTTTTAATGTCTTTATTGATTTTAGGGAGAGGGGAAGAGAGAGGGAAAGAGAGAGGAACATCGATGTGAGAGAGAAACATTGATTAGCTGTCTCCTGCATGCACCCCGAAGGGGGAGAGCCCACAACCTGGGCACGTGCCCTGATGGGGAATCTAACCGGCAACCTTTTAGTACACGGACTACACTCAACCAACTGAGCCACACCAGCCAGGGCGGGTGTCTTATTCTTGAAAGTTCTAACACTGAGTCCCTGTCTGGAGTTTCTCCCAAAGCAGGAGCTCCTTGAGACGATAGGTGTTGGCAGTCTCCTTGACTGGTGAGAATTATAGGACCAAACGTGGGGTTTTTAGAAGTGGGTTCTAGTAGTGGGTTCTACCACCACTCAATTCTGTAGCTCTTTCTGGGACAAATGGAGACTACAGGACGTGGCTGGGATGGCCCCATGTCTTTCGGTCCCCACAGCCTGAACAAAGGAAGATAAGGGCCCAGCACTAGAAGTAGGGCTGCTGGCCCACACTACAAAGTCTCTGATAGAGAAATGGGCTTTGGAATCTCCCAGGATTTATCTGCTGGCTCCTTTGAGTGTATCCACTCCGGTACCACAACTTCTCTGCTTTACTTGTGTGGAGCCAACTCTGTTTATGTGCCTTAACCCCATGAGGGTAAGAGTTCTTATTTAATACTTATTGAGAACTGGGAGATACTCAGCCCTGTATTATGGTATCAGGTCAATGTGATGGGTAATAAGAATGCTGACTTTGAAAGTTTTCTGAGCTGAGCCAAGACATCTTCTGTGGTGAACAGCTACATTACCCATGCTGGCAGGGCATGGATACTCAGTACACTTAAAAATACCTTTTTACTCTGGATATGAGGTTGACTTTACCTCTCTCCTTTAAAAGATGGGCTTAGAGCCCGGCCGGGTGTGGCTCAACAGTTGAGCATCGACCTAGGATCCAGGCAAT